GCGGCCGCGGCCGCGGCCTCTTACCGCCCACATCCGGTCGCGGCCGCGTCCCGCGCCGCTGCCCTCACCTATTCCATGAGCGATCTCCTCGGTGTTCAGGGCCTCGACATGGGCGCCGTTTACCACCCGATACCTACGATCGGCCTATGACCTACGATACTCACACCCCTTTCGCGCCCGCAATAATTCTAGCTCGTCCGGGGGTGTACTTACGTCCGATTTCGTTTCGTTTCAATCGATCAGTCATCCTTCTTTTCTATATTGCTTGTCGCCATTTTTCAATTTCGTTGTAGCATATCGTCGTGAGTTTTACAATTTGTATGTCCCAAAGGACAACATAATATAATACAATTTTTCATCGCAAACGCAATAGTCTTTCTCAGTTTTGCTTAAAAATCATATTTTAATACGTGCCAAAAAACTTGTTGTTTTCGATAGATCGATTTAGATTGCATGAATTATAAAGTTTGAAACTCAGTGAATTAAGAATGCTCATATAAAAGAAATATATGTACGTATATTTTTTTGGATCTATTTAAGACTTAATTGGCTGAAGAAGTCAATGTACTTTTTATGATTTTTATTTATAATATTATCGATTGTAAGATTTTAGGAATCTTGCTGAGAAAAAAATTAGTCTTTCGTAATAAATGCGTAATTTTTTAATGAAATATTACAGTGAATTAAACAGCACTCTATACATTTCTCAATTGAGGGACTGTTCTTCGTTTTGAAGTAGTCAACGAAAGAAATCGAAAGTATTAATTAATATATGTCACTCAGTGATCAAACGATCGAGCGTGATAGGTATCAATTTCAAAAAGTGCAATATTGTAGATTTAGGAAAACCGTTCTTATTTATCGGTTCGAAATACATATCGAGAACGCGATATTTCCGCGGAGCTATTCGCGGTTGGCAATGTTCGGCGAAACTGTGATCGTAGAAGCAGAAGAAAACGCGTAGCGAATTGCAGATTTAATCGATGTAATAGTTACCTATGGGGCCTCATTTTCTCGTAGTGAAGAAAGTAGACATGTAGCAACGAGACAAACGGATCGCAAAAGACTGGTAGTTATTTCGTAGATAATTAGTAACGCAGATAGTAGGACAATAAACAAAGTGTTCAAATGTAGAGGGAAAACGACCTAATGATGCTCAAATAAAACGCCGTCGCGTCGAACGTATCTCCTTATAGGATTGTCTTTCGATTTTTAAATTTACTACGTTTAATTAATGAAACATAAAGCAAGTCTTAAACAATTTTTTGCTTCTCAACGAAACGTTATTAAATTTAAAAAATTTAACTTTAAAATTTATATGGATCTTGTAATCTTAAGAATAATAGGATTATCTTTTGATTTATAAATTTACAATTTGTTCAATAAAACATAAAGCAGGAATCTTAAAAAGTTTTTGCTTTTCAATAAAACATTATTAAATTTAAAAATAAAATTTTTGTGTTTCTTTGACTTTTCAAAAGAAAGACAGTTTATTTTGACGTTTTCTTAAAATACATTTTTTTATGAGTTACATAATCATTTCTATAATATTTCAAAATTGAAAAATCGGAGATGTATTGAGAATTGAGAAGTTAATAATAATTAAAGTTGTCTTACATTGTCAGATTAGTATAATTATTATTAAAGCATCTATTGAAAATGAATATAATTATATGAAAACATCTTCTTTTACATACTAATGAAAACAGGCAGGATAAACGAACAGTAACTATACAAGTCGTGTCTAACTAAATCTCAATCATCTACCGACGTCGAATAATTAAATTTTCGGTGTCCATCACACTTGCCGTTAAAAGCACTTCGATTAAAACGCCGTAGAAATTAACACCGACATCGAACCTTCAACGAAGGAGGAATGAGAGAACAGGAAATCGAAAGACAAGGTGAGCAGCAATTTTCAGGTCACCTCGATGGGGAAACAAAACGACAAGTCCTCGATGGAGATTGTATGTTCGTCGTTCGGCGGCTGTCAATTCGTTGATAGAACCTAGTTGAAATTTTAGCGCGTTGCGAACAAAGCTCTAACGTAGAAATTGTCGTCTGCGAGGTTACGCGACAAGATCGAGTAATATAATTGAAAGTCGCGATAGAGAATATGGAAAAATAGTCGCGTTTCGTGGCGTATTTTCGAACGTCTTTAAAAACGGCATAATATTTTTTTGGAATGAAATAATCGTTTGTTTAAACTATAAACGCGCTCTTTGTCGAGGCCGTTTTAATTACGAATATTTTAACAAAAAAAAAAAAATTGAAATAGTATACAAGAGAAAAACATCCTTTCTCCTCCTTCTCCCAGATAGTAGTTCGCTGCGTGTACTCCTCGCGAGCATGCGAGCGATAATTGAAGGAAAACAATTAGCGGCGCATACCGACGCAAATTGTCGGCGATGCGATGCGGCGAGAGAGCGGTTAGCGCGACGGGAGCCCGCAGGAAATGGTTGGCGACACGTGCACTTCTCATTTGTCGCGTCTTCCGGAATATTTTTCGCAAGTGACTTCATGAAATTTCATAATGTCGAAGCAAGAAAGAACTCTGTGTTCTAAACGATATAAAGATACTCAAAAAGGAAAGACACGAGCTCGACACTATTTATATGTATATAAATGCATACGTGAATCTATATACATATATACATATATACGTATAATATATTTATATTCTATTCTGATATGGGGTGTCCGAAAACTCACGATAATACATCTCATTGATATTAAGAATCAAATCAGAGAGAAAAATGAATAATTTTGAATAATTTTGAGAAAAAAGAGATCCTAAAAATATAAATTGATAAAAACATGTGAATTTTAAGTATGAGTAGAAAATTATTATTCAGGGCTTGATTATCATTTTACATTGGAATGTAAAATATTACAACAGTAAACATCGTACGACAAACAACAGCCTCACAATCAAGTTGTAAAAAAATATAAATATCAAATAATACATGTATTAGTGGTTTTCGGACACTCCATATTAATATGTACCTAACGATCCATTATAGATTACGCCAGACGATATATACCTTATATATTGTTTTGTATCTTACCTATTTGGTAACGCCATAGCATTTGATATTAATATCGATATATTTTGTGAGAGCCGCATTACACCTTATAGTTTTTTGTAATAGACCAAACAGATATACATATCGGAACCTATATATCTATCTATCTCTACATATCTAGGTAATTAGGTAAACATTTGTGTTGTTATCAGACCTTAGACATTATTGAGACTAGGCGTTCTAGGTTCGATTAGTTAGAGCGAATCAGTTTTAAACGAATTAATATACTATGTACACGTTCCTATCGTTGAGACTACTAGTGGACTATAGCTTTTGGGAAGTCACTATGATATCGTTAGCTTAGATTATACTTTAGGCGTTCATCTTCGCGGAAGATCGCGGCACTCGCGTCCGTTCGTCGACGAAGAATTGTTCACAGGGAAGGCATTTGGCCTCCGTCGTAACATTCCCACTCATGTTTCATTCCGCAAAATAATTCGCGAGAGAAGCGAGATAAAGCGCGGTGCTCAAACATCTTCCGCGAAGAATACGCATTACCAGCGGCTTCAAAGAGACCTATTATATTGTACCTATTACTTAACGAGCTACGTTACATAGTTACATTTATATTACGTTACACGTAATATTATACCTCTCTCTCTCTCTCTCTCTATATATATATATATAGGATATATACTAAATATATATCGTGCGTATACCTATCTATACCTAATACCTCAGCTCCCATATATCCCACTCATATACTACTCGTTACATAACTCTTCTTAAGCCACATAGCATCAGTTATCTTAATAATAATGCGTGAGACGTGTGTCCTAGAAAGTACGTACTTAACCAGAGAGGCGCAACACTGTCAGTTTCGTAAGTAGACCAGACTTTGATGATGCGGTTTTATTGTTGGTCTTTGTGACACTTGGCTGGGCCATTTGATTTTGGGTTTTACGGGAATATAGAGTATCCGCTGATGTCTTACATAATTGATAACGGGGGCGCAGAACGATTCGACGGAATGCATTCCTGATACACGGCCTCGCGAATGTTTCTCCTCGTCCGAGACGGGACATGCACATCAAAGGGGAAACATAAAATTCTAGTGAGAGTAGCTCAATGAATTCCACGTTGCCGAAGCCATCGATGTGACGTAAACGTTAATCGATCGGCAACTCGATCGTAAACTCGAGCTGAGACAGGCTTTATGCGCTCCTCGGAACTGCGAGAGACTGTTAATATTAATACGTCGTACGTAAACGTCTGCTCTACGTGAGATCGATATGTTGCATCTGAGAAAGTTAAGAGTGTATACGTAGATGCTATATAGAAAAGCACGCGCGTAATTCGCGCAAGAATTATTTATATAGTATCGTCGAGATCTATTCACGTATTTCGATGAAGTGTGACAAAGATACATATCTATATAATGCTGCAAATGATTCTATTGAGATAAATGCGAAATAGTGCTCGACGTACATGCAATCTTATTGTAGCTCAGAAGAGTTTAGAAAGCCATTAAGACAGAGAAAAAGAGTGCAAAATGATAGTAAAATACCATTGAGCGCTTGACGTAATCAATACCAGCCCGGTAGAGAGACTTTAGGTACGAAATTACTAATACTATTAATATGTATCAGTGTATTTTAATGGCTAGAATAAACGCTCTTATACTTTTTTCCATCTGCGTAATATTGTGAGAGCAACGTCGATATGGACACTAGCATAGTGAGTCTAGTAGTGTAGTATTATTGTGGTCAGTGTTTTTTTCAATATTGTATCGTCAATATAAATGTGAGTAGTGGTGCCGGTAGTATGCCACGCACATACACACACGACATGAAATAGAAAAATAAAAAGTAGAGTACGTTATTACGTGCGTATCCAATCATTCCGCAAATTTATCATTTGCGGAAGACATTCAGTTGGTGGCATATTACCGACCCTTAGTCGATATCTAATAAGCTATATAGAGAGCCTAGCAAATATTACTTAACGGTAAATAATTAACCAATACCTTTGAAGGCTACAATAACCATAGTTCATAGGAGGGTTTATTTTGTCGTAGAATTGGAAACACCTCGGCCGCGCGTAGTTACCTAGTACCTTGTCACACAGTTTAGAAAATGCGCTATATAGTCGATGCGATATACATATATACATAGTGAGAATCTTAGTTGTGTGGTCTTTTGGATTAGTATCGAATTATGAAATTTCATGGATGCCTTGATCTCTCTGTCATTCTATTTCTCTCATTCTTTCTCTCTCTCCCTTTCTCTCTCTCTCTCTCTCTCTCTCTCTCTCTCTCTCTTTCTCTTTCACTAATTTTCTCATACTCTCTATTTAACCTAGAAAGCTTTTAATCCTATTTCTTATCTTTTTTTCTCTTTTTACGTTCTCTTTTATCGTTTGGACCTAGTCATCCGTTACACTTAAATCCCGACGAATTTCTGCAACGCTTCGCTTCATACTTAACTTATCTCCGTGTACATATTCTTAAATGTTTACGCCTACCTTCGCCTGCTCGAAGAAAAATATTGGTCTTGCGACATATAAAACTTCGCGGAAATAATTGACATGTGGAAACTTTACTTCTGACACGTAGCTTATTTTGTAAGTTTTCGAGCGATCAATATCTTTCTTCGTATGTAGTTGCAGAAATTTTGATGGAGACTTAAAATCGTTGCACTAACGAACATGCAATATAAATAAAGGGGAAAAAATCGAAAGGAAAAAAGAATTGATAAAAATAAGTAAACAAATATTCAAAAATATATATTAGTCTATGTCGAAATTACATTTTAATCGAGTTTGTTTTTCCTTATAGATTTTATGTGGTCTCTGGGAGCATTACCTGATGGTGAGTATGTGAAATATGTACTGACTAGTAAAGAACTCGATACCTACTCTGACGATCCCTATTATAGACATAACTAAAGAAATAATGATGCTATATATGGCTTCACAGCCTTGATACATAATTGTCCATTTCACCTATTTACTTTAACATACATTTTACCTATAGCATATCTTTCAGTTGACTGACGTGAATGTATGTAAATATTAGAATTTAGTAGAATAACTACTAACTTCTCATTAGCTTTTATATTAATGGAAATTTAATCTAATTAGCAGAATATAGATATGGCAATAATTTTGACGGATATAACTTAATAAGTTTATCTAGCTTTATACAGTGACAGGACCAAATCAGCAAAATCAAATTGGATCTATCGGAGTACTTATTTTATATTAAATTATACCATTAATCACAATTTTGTACTGCGTGCAAATTCGAAAAAAATGTGACGCTGCTAGCTTAACATTAAGTTGGCAGAACCAATTCGAAATAAAAGAAAAAGAGAAAAATTACATCAGAAATCAATAGAATTGGACTTACATTAATTTGTACCAACAACAATTTTATATTGTATCATTTCCAAGAAAACAATGGTACTGCTAACTTAATATATAAGTTGATAGGTCCGCAAAAAAATAGTCGTAAAAAAATGAACAAAACTGAGTTTGTATTAATTGGTACCATTGAAAAAAAGTAAGTTAATATTTTACATCTTTTTTCTCCATGATATGATTTTATTAGTATTAATTTACAATCTATGTAATTTTAGTAACGAAATCTGAGTGAACCTGGCACTTGAATTTAAGAAAAAAATTTTTTAATGCGCATTAAATTAAGTTATAATAAAAAAATGTTTTTCAAAATTTGTTATTTGATTTTAAGTTATTATAGGTTTGTAATCGTTTGTATCACTTTCCTTTTTGTTTGTACCTTAAGAAATACAAAAATATAAAGAGTTGAAGAAATGCTAAAAAATATTTTGAGATATTTTAAATCCATAAACGGAGGTTCTTTCGTAATTGTTTGTAACCGATTGTACTTTACTCGGTTTCACACACATTCGTATCCTTAAGAGGATGATTGTATCGAAATTTTAATATAGAGGTAAGAGCTAACTTTGCTATTTTTGAAGTTATTTTAAATCCGCAAGCGGATGCTACTTCGTAATCATTTATACCCATTGTGCCACAATCGATTTCGATCCCCCTTAAGGGGATGATTGTGCCGATATTTCAAAAATAGATTCAGAACTAGCTGCGCCATTTCCGAAGATATTTTAAATCTGAAAGCATGTGCTGTTTCGGAATCGTTTGTACCAGTTAAAATCCGAAATATCACCAAAATTTCAAATCCGTTTGCGAATTTAAAATATCTCAAAGTGGAGTGCTAGCATTTTTTCAACCCTTTATATTTTTGAACTCCTTAAGGTACAAACAAAAAAGAAAATGATACAAACGGTTACAAACCCAACTTAATTTAATTCGCATTAAACAATTTTTTTTCTTAAATTCAAGTGCCAGCTTTACTTAATAGCAACACTATTCTTTGGGCCGCCTTCAATTTGGTTCATGTAGTGTCTTTTATATTTAGTATTTTTGGAATGTAAAATCACATAGAAAAAGAATTATGTGCTGAGGGAATCATTCAATGTTATAGTGAATCGTTATTTTTCAGTGAAAATTGAAAAATCCATAAATCCTTATATAATTACTTTTTCACAGGGACTGAACACTTTCTTCAATCATATTGCTTTTATCATGTTCTCTTGAAATGCATGTGTCGAAAACGAAAAATTTAAATTTGGTTTGAAAATAAAATAAAATAAAATTTGATTTAAAAATAATAAAATATCATCTGTTTTATTTATCCATTATTTGGTATAAAATTTATAGGAAAAATATTTTATATTCAATAAAAAATGAAATTTTTCTCTTAAGATCACGATAAGAAGGACGAGAAAAGACCAAAATTACTAGTATTCACTCAGTTTATGGCTCATATGAGAATGTACAGATTTTTCAATTTTCACTGAAAAATAACTTTCAATGATTCCCTCAGTACATAATTCCTTTTCTACGTGATTCTACATTCTAAATACTAAATAAAAAAAATACTACATAAGCCAAATTGAAGACGGCCCAAAGAATAGTGTTATTGTTTAGATTTTATTGCTGGGATAATGTATATAGATTGTAAGTATATACTAATAAAGTCATTTTAAGGAGAAAAAAACGTAAAATTTTAACTTACTTTCAATGGTACAAATTAGTACAAATTCAGTTTTGTTCATTTTTGCCCTTATATTATTTTTTTATGGTTCTGCCGGCTTATATATTAAGCTAGCAATGTCTCTGTTTTCTAAGAAATAACACATAATAGAAAATTGTTCTTAGTAATACAGATTAGTATAAATCCAATTCAATTGATTTCTGATATAATTTTTTCTTTTTCTTTATTTTGAATTGGTCCTGTCAACTGAAGGGAATCTTAAAGATTAGTCATATTGTAAATAGCACTTACACACAGACGATTTACGCATCATTGACACATCATTACATCACTACCTCACTCATGCATGCCACACATATACATAAATTTTTGTATAACAATTATATTTTAATTAGACGTCTGAGTTCAATTTTAAGAATTTCACGCTGTTTCTTCGTGCAAACTACTAATCTATGGACTATTACTTCGTAAGTACAGATTGCACGAATTTTATATGAAGCAAATGTTGTCACGACGTGACAGTTCTGGAACGCCATATTGGAAAGAACTTAGAAATGGGAAAGAAGATCTCAATTTCGAAAATTTTTTGCCGTTCTCAGTCTATGCTGATAGACTCCATCTCACAGATACGTATTAATGCGTAACTTCAATTCTGGAAAAAGATTTTCAAATCAGAAGAAAAAAGTAATTGTTATACAAAAATTATATGGTTTAGTCGGTAATACAGACGACTTTATGATCCTCTTAATATTAAACTAGCAACACCACGATTTTTTTCGAAATAGCACACAGTACAAAATTGTCATTAATGGTATATTTTACAAAATAAAAAGTACTAAAAATGTACTAAAAACATTCTGATAGGTCCAATTTAATTTTTGCTAATTTGGTCCTGCCAGTCTTATACTGCTGGTTTTAAGCTAGTTTCCTAATAATTAACAGAGTAAATAAGTTTTATTATTTTCGATATTTTCAACGAATTCTCATCGATTTAATAAACACATATTTGTGAACTATATATATAATTTGCAAAATATAAGAAAGTTTTTTAATAGTTTAAGTTCTTTAATAACTTTATAAATTTTCTTATAAAAATAAGATAAGTCTTTTGTTTGCCAAATTGAATTGAATATAGTAATAGATATTTTTGCATGACTTTTCATTATTGATTTCTGCTTTTTTGCAAAAAATAAATTTTTATCTTTATAAATATCTTTTACAAAAACATATTTACTTTTCTTCATACGTTTTTAAACTTCTCAAAATTTAATCCAGCAAATAATACTGAAACTGAAATGGTTTAAAACTCGAGGACGTGGAAGAATAAAAAACAATCTTAAACTATATCTGTATCATGGTACCAAAAACAAAATTATATATTTTCATATTGAAAAATATTTAGTTAGAAGAAATAGTGTTACAAGAAGTGCGAAAAACTAAGAATTTTCTTATGCTTATCGGCGTTTACAAAATTATCGCGAATGATTACGTTGTCCCAAATGCTAAGAGGACTAGTGAGTTGTAACGAGGAGTTTAACGGAAATTTTCGTTGTGTTCACAGGTTTCCCAGCGGCAGCGTACGCGGCATACGCGGCGGGCCGCGGCTATTCTGGGTACCCTAGTTTCGGATTACCCTACCCGACAGGTAACCACCTTAGCCTTAACCATCTTAACCACCACAATGCGGCCCACATCGCGCCCCTGAACTTGAACTTGAACCTCATACAGGCGCAGCCCGCGCCCCATCATAACCCGCCCACTCCGACACCGCTATTTTACCATCCCAATCTGGATCTCTACAACGCCATGCCTCTGTGAACTAACTCACTGATTAACGATACCGATAACGAGCTGTGCGCGCACTCTAACTCATTGCTATACGCTAACTGACTTGCTGTCGCTTGGTCCATCCGATCCCATCGCGGCGAGAGAGCGTGTTGCGACGTGAAAATCAACGAGGTGAGAGATAGCTCCCATGTTGCCGAGAGTGATTCGGGCGGTTTGAAAGCAAAGACACGCGTGCAATACTCGAGGATTCCTAGCTGAGGATCCTCCGCAGAGACGTACACTAAACTTTCGCGAGGGACAAAGCGACTCTCCATTCCGGGATCACGAGTTCTCGAACTGGACGATGCGACGACGCGACGCGACGCCGACGCCCGGAACGTAAGCAGGTTCCGCCGAACGTGCGTTGCTATTTCCACGAAAAATAGCAGGAATGGATTACGAGAGATTCTTTAAAGCATGATTTCTCTTTAAAACCGGGAGAGTTAGTTCTGATTTTACAAAGTTTTTGCAGCCCTCGATAGCGAGAGAGAGAGCCACGATAGAATAGACGTAGAGAAAACGGGGAAAATGTTGAGCCATGAGAAACTTCGCCTAGTTACAGGATATTCGGAGATAAATTATTAATATCTAGCAGAGAGAGTGTCAGCTCGGCCGACACGACGGCTGGCTCGGCTGCGATATCGACTCGCTTCTCTTTGAAAAAGTTTGTACATTATTGGAGTACTTATTCGATATCTGTCGCAGTGTTGGTTTCGCGTATTTTTTTATAACGAGAACACTATCAAGCGGCAGTCAGCGATGAGAATCGTACAAATTGATAAATAATTACTATATCAAAGTTATACCACATCGTTTTAAGGTTTAAGGGCATCAAGAAAAGATTTGTTAGCCTCAATATATATTAATAACATCTCGTTTCATATTCTCTTATATTCTCTTTATATTTCTATATTCATCTTTGTATTAATTAGCAGAATATTCGACAGATTTCATGACGATCATTTTATTATACAATACAATACATTACTTTTCTACTATATTTTAAAATATTTTTTAAAGAAACAATGGATTCCAAAGGATATAAATAATCTATTCTCTTTCTCGTTCTGCGGTAGACAATAAATCATCGAGTGTTTGCGAAAAAGTGTGTTGTGCTACCCGTGGATTCGGAATTTATTGAGCTGTTATAGCTACGGTGCACTATTGATTCTCCCTTGTGCTGTGGGTATCATTTTTAAAGAATTCAAAATCTCAAAATATTGATATGTATATATGAATGAGAATATGAAGGTATAGAGGGGAAAAAAATGTGCATAGATTACGCCGGGTGCAAAATGCCTCGTGAAAGTATTCGGACGATTTTATTCGATTTAATATAGGCGTATTACCGTTTGAATACTTTGGTAAGCCACTATATGTGAAATCAATCATTCCTTTCAATAACGAATATATCCCAATAGCAATCTCAATAAAAGCAAATATCCAATCAATGTCCGAATTCATCAGTAAATACCACTAAATATTGAAATAGCCGATAAAAGTTATCAGAGAAATACTTTTACTTTTACAGTGTTTATTAGCCAAAATTGTGTAGGGAGAGAGCGTACAGTAAAACTAATATTATATATATTTTGTAAATACACATCGATATTTTGAAAATCGATGATGTCATCAAAATTGAGTTCAAACTGTTCAAAGCTGTTTGACACGGTCAACGGATCGTGAAATCGATCGCGATATAAAATGTGTGGAGCGGGGTAAAATGTCATTGTTGATATCTGGCAAGGGTAACAAGTACGTATCGATTGACAATGATACGCAAGGGACCGCATCGCGGTCCACTTTAATATATACATACACAACACATGTAAATACACACACACACACACACATACACGCATTCAACTATTGACATACACATGACTGCAGCGACTAATAGAGTACCTACATACGTAAAATGAGCACGTCCATCTTTCGACATCGATTTGTTGAAATCGAAGTGGATGGGCGAACCTTTCAAAGTCGAGTCTTCTTCATAATGTATTTGCAAAATTAAATCACAGATGTAATCACAGATTACATTTAATTACGTTTAAGGGAAATGCATCTCTTTTCTATCATAATTCGATATAACGTTGGCCTATCTTAAAACTCCATGAACAGAATTAAAGAATAGTAAATCGTTAGTTTGTACCCCCGTAAATTATCAATCTCTTATCCGTCTGTTCCGATTTGTTTCTGTAAACTTTCCTTTTAACAATATTAAATTGTTATCTGTATTTTTACTGATATTTATTTATTATTACGTCATAAATTTTGTTATTTGATTTTGTTATATAAAATTTGAAACAAGGCAGCAGTTCAAATATATTGAATGTAATAAAAAAATATGAGTTTAATAATATTGAAACTTCACTACGCAGCCAAACCGAAGAGTTAAAATGAAAACCAGATAAAACTATATAAAAAACCATAACGTTTTAAAAGTTAAAATGAAAACTAGCATAAAACCTTGTAAAAAAAAGCCATGACGTTTTCATCGATATCTTCAAAAACATATTCTATTTTCTATTTCTTTCAAGTTTGCGATAAAAAATATTATTTATACAAAGGAATTATTTCTTTTATAAAAATCTTATTTTTATTAACAATTGCATCTTAAGTCAATTTTTAATGGATTTATTATTAAATAAAATGTCATCATTCTCCTCTTTCAAAGCTTTCTACATAGATACCATTTTTAATGGTCTCCTTTATTGCGCGATTTATCTGCTCTTCTAATATAAACTATTATGTAAAACTTATATAACTATAATGCTTTTAAGACACTTCCTCACTTTTCTTAACATGTATTATTGCATACTTTATCAATCGTGTGTTACGTTTGCTTGCTTTCGTTATTTTACGCCTGGTAAATGTGCGCACATTTTATTCTGCGAAAAACGATTGCAATCGAAACTATGCACCCTTCCATCCTACGTAATTTTAACCCTTTCACGCGGCTTGCTACTCCTCATATCAAGTATGTAAAGCAGTAATGACGCGTCACGTCGTTAACGCCGGACAAACTGCGATCGGTGCCTCGTCGCGATCGAAATTAATTAGTGAAATTAATTGAAGATAGTGTCATCCAACAATATCGCTTCAGATTTGCTTCAGAAAATGTTTAAAAGAAGAAATGCGGTTCCTAATGTCTTGAGAAATTGAGATCTACGTACATCGATTCTTAGAACAATATATGGGTGGGAAGAGAATTCATAAATAATGTATAATGTTTTTCGGACGTTGGCCCATCCCTCAAAAAGCCTATCCTCCTCCATTTCTCCTACTATTTCCTTTTTCGATCCGATCCTCGCTTTTCTCCAGGGATATGCTCGATACTCCCAGAATCGTTTCCAATTTTCCTCGACACCCGCTACTTAACGCATTTGAATAACATTTCGGGATCACCCCCGCGACTACCTTTCCATCCTCTTCGCTCGTTCCCGATCTCCTAGCCTGGTTTGTGTTTCTTATTGCGTACAGTTCACGAGGCATGGTGGTAGAAGGAAAAGTGGATATCATCCACGATGATTGATCGCCATAAAGAATTCTTCGTCACCCCCGTTCCTCACTCCGATTCCCTCAATGTATTTCCAATGTCCGAAAAACATTTGTCGGTTAAGCCACCCTCTTTGCAAATATGGGAACGGGGCGATCTTCCATGTGAGGTAGGAACGTGGGTTAAGAAAGATATTTCTAGGTAAGGGGCGACGACGTATATTCGTGGAGAACTTCTTCAGAGAAGAAGATCTTAAGCTCGAACGTGTGTGTGTGTGTGCGTGCGTGTGTTCCCGAACTGCAAATATTCCGCTGTTTCAAGAGAAGTCAAACGGCGACCGTGATTTAACGATCGTCGCTAGACATTCACCTTCATGTTACGAAAGCGCCAAACGAGATCGTTTCACGATGCAAACTGCATTCGTGAACCGTTTCATATATTTTGTATATTGGCAAATAAAGACAAATCTTTCTCGATAACTTACGAATGAAGGGGCAAGCGTACGAAAGATGTTTTTATGCAAATCGCATTATTCTTACAAAATCATTATTTCCTACTATGTTATATCAGTCATATGAGATATTAAATTTCTTAACTTTACGAAAATTAAAGAGAAAATTATCTTTTTTTTATATGAATTTTTATAAACTATCTCTCTTTGTTGACGAGTTAGTTTATGTTAATGAAAAAACGAAATGTTTTTATATTTTATCTGTTGGATTATTAAATTGAATTTGATATTTAACTCTTACACGCCCTGTCTATAATAATTTCGATTGTTTCGAACATTAAGAATCCTTTGTTCTTGTTTAATTAAAAACGTTTTTATTTAAGTGCTTTTCAAATTTAGCTATTACAACTTATGTTTTACGAAAAATATACGCTTGAAATATATGTTGTATTTAAATATGAATACATCAGAGGCATACGTTGCATGAATGAATAGTGTATCAACGCTAAATAACGATGCTTACATGTACATGGTATTATGTGACATTGTTGTAATGATGATAACTGAATTCCGAATGTGGTAATATCAAAATTACCAGCAAATTGTCACAAATCCGATCCTCTCGTCTGCCCCTTCGATTCATGTTTTCCGATTCAAGATGGATGAGATGTTTAGTGCGTCAGCATAACATTATACAGCAAATTCGCTCTATTAGTTACACTGCAAGTTTCAGTAGAGCGACGTGGTCTATTTGTTAAATATTGACGTGAAATCAGTGAGTTTCAATTACGTTTAAATCAACGAATACGCTTTCGTTCACAAGTTAATTAATCAAAGAAAATTTACGTAAAATATTATCAATAAA